GAGAATTTGTACATAAATCAGAATACATGCACATGTGCATTTGAGTGTGCACAGGCGCACATGCACAGCCTTGAAGTCTTTACTGCATTACAGCCTTAAGAGTTTTGCTTTATCTCCAGTTGCTTCAAGATATCTTTACTTTTTAAGGATTTACTTTCAAATATAAAGACAGTTTTCCCTTATTTAATTCTTCTAGGATCCAGTGCCCTACTTCTGACAAACATTAAGCAGTTGCTAGTCTCAACAAGAGTGATATCCTTAATATCTATAAAGGTGTCTTCTATTAATGTGAAGCAGGTTTTTTACTGGATTATATAAAGCAATCCAGTACTTGAGAACAAAATTACTTTAAAAAGTGGAACAGCTATTTCCTGCCAGATGCCAGAAAAAGGAAGAAAAAAAGGATATAGAAAATATATTATGAGCAGAGTTTGTCATTAAAGACTTGAAGCTAGATTTTAATCTTATCCAGGGAAGAAAAAATGTGATTACAGCATATCTACAGTAACTTAAGGCATGTAATTCTAATAATATTAAGTGAGAAGCTGCTGATATCACAACATAATCAACCAGGATTATTAGGGAAAGTTCTGTAACAAGTCAAAATATTACCAACAGTGCATCACTGGTTCTCAACCTGCCAGAGACAATTTATATTGTAACTGCCAGTCCTTAAACACTCTCCATGTTCACTGTGAGGCAGGATAACAGTGAAACAGAAAAGATCTGGGTGATATGACAGCTGTAGCAAGGCACAAGATTCCCACAAGAACAATTTTCAACCTTGTAGTTAAGGTATTTTAACAGAACTGCAATAGCTGATCAAGGAGGCTTGCAGTGCTCATGGGTTCAGAGAGGATACTCAAGGTCTTTGTATCATGATACACCAACAAGGACTCACAAGTACACTGTAGCCAACTTAGAGTTTAAATTAATTCCAGACCTTAAAGTATTACAACAACCAAGCTTCTTGCATTATTTAACTTTTTTCCCTTATACCCTGCTAGTCCTTCATGCCTACTTGCTTTATGAACTATGTGATTATATACTTTTTAAATTATAATAACCAGTTATATTCCATGTAAGTATATTGTACAATTATTATAAAATACTTGGCTTTGTGTGCATATAAAGCTTTGTATAATAAAGAAATTATTGAAAGATTGTTGTAAGAAAGCATAAGAACATGTACAACTCTCTTGCATGATGCCTTGGCACCCAAATTTCCAAGTGGATGATCCAAGCACGACAAGGCAGCTTGCTCAGTTGCTTCTGAGCCCTTGTGCTCAGCAAAAGGATCTGACATTCAAGGGCTCCAACCTGAGCTTATAAAAATACAAAACACAACTTGATTTTTTTTTCTACTGGAAAAGGTTATTTTTTCTACAAGGAAGTTATTGCAGGAACCATTACATAGATGACTTGACCATGTAGATCCCATACATAACACTGGAAGGTTAAAGTTTCAAAGAACCGAGAGCCTTCAATGTCTGAAGGCTTTTATTATCTGAAGGTGTTTCTTAAGCTTGTCTGAAAAAGTTCTGCCTTTCTAAAGGCTGTTATGTTATTTCTAAAGAATTCAGCAGGGCCAGGGTTACACACCAGCTCTTACTCTAAAATAAACATGCAGCCTCAACCACAGGCAAGAGCAGTGGCAGTGATTTCTGTGAAGTTGTGTCATGCTGAATGTCAGAGGCTGCTCTAAATGGCCAGAGTGGACCCTTGTGGCCTTATGCAACAATCAAGATTCACATGGCAAAAACATCATCTGAACAAGACAAGACCTTTGCAAAATCAAATCTTATGGATTTATGCACATACCTAAATGCTCTGCAAAGTCCAGATATTTTACATTCTTATTTTCATATCAGATTGTTGGCTGGAGTGCTTAGTAATTGTGGTTCCTTGCTTTGTTATAAGAGTATGTGACAGTAATTAGGCATGCCACTTGAAGAATTCACTGCCCATTAGAAAAACCAGTGGCATTAAAAACTTTGCGCAAGGTTTTAGTGGAGCATCCCAGAGAAGAATGCCTCTCCTATAGAGCTTACTCTTTATTTGGGTTTGGTTTTTTTTTTTTTTTTTTAAGTCTCTTGCCTGGCTTGATGTTACAGTGACCAGGCCCTGCCCCAGGGGAGCACAACGAGCTGACAGAAGCTGTGGCACAAAACAAAACCGGATTTTGCTCCCCTACTCAAGACAAAGTGCCTTTGTGGTTCCACAGCCCCAGGCTACCTCTGTGGAACTGTGGTGTTGGAGATGCTTGTGTAGGAAAAAGAGTTATTGTAGAAATCGGCTCAAGATGGGCTCTGAACAGTTCACATTCATTGATCAACAGCATTTTTTTCCCTTTGTCAGTCAGCCATGAAGTAGGATTTTGCAGGAAGGAGGTGACAATACATTTCTGAAGCTGCTCCAGTACCTCCTCCTTTGCCACGCTCAGAGGCCAGGCATCCATCTGGTCTTAGCTCTGCCCTGCTTCTTGCATGAGCCATAGGATTTGTCTGCTGTAACTACAGCTCCTTGCTAACCACTGGAGCTCTCTATCCTTGGCAGGATCAAGAGCTCTGGTCTCACATGTATAAATGGTGTGATGAATGCCAATGTGTTAAAGACTCAAAGGTAAAGTTGCGCCCAGAACTGCATTGCACACTGTTAACTACTTGTGAACACAGAAGGCTCCAAGCTCCCTTCAATGAATGCACATGTAGTTTTTGCATCATGTGCTCAGGGACAATTTGGCAATGTATAAATTGTGGTTGCAAGACACATTTTTAACTTTATTCACTTGAGTGATGGTTTTTTTTATTAGTTTTCAGGCCTTTGTCATTATTTCACCATGGAAGCATTTTACATAGAAACACAGCCATACTTCTGGAGCTTTGAATTTGCATTACTCCAATTAAAAATACAAAAACCAAACAAAATAATGAAAAAGAAGCTCTTGCTTTGGGCTTCACTCATGTAGGTTTGGACTATCTTCACTCAAGAACACAAAGCCAAGTTCTCCTTTTCCTGTTGAAACACATGGGATTTGTTCTTGCACATCTAATACAGTGTTTAACTGAGGGCCTGCGGGTTGGCTTGCACAAGTGGGCACAAAATCTTTTGCACCATTCCAGACTATATTTTGTTTAATTCAATGTTTTATTGGCACATAGTAGCATAGGTAAAATGAATTTGTGAATTCTAGAGAGAATAACAGTTATTTTAGTTAAGAAATTCTACTTCCACTCATGTTTGGGGTGTGGTCCCAGAAAAGTTGAGGGATTTTGGTATAAAAATCAGCCTTCAGTCATGCAACTGTTTATAAGTGAAAGAGCCAAATACCATCCAGGAACCACAAAATATGCATAAGAGTATAATTCAGACTGAAATAAAATCTTTCACTTGTCATATGAAGGGGAGGAAACTAAACAGACCTAAATACAGCCACTGTAAAGAAGGTTAACATTTTACCAGAGTGAATTTTCTGCTCAGGTACTCTAGGGCAGCTTGTTCACTCTCTTAGCCTTGTACTATTTCCTGTGGGTGCTGCCCTGAGAGCTTGTAACATTCAAGAGCAGACCTAGCAGACAGTTTTCATATGCCAAGTGCTACTTTCAAAGCAATCATTGCTGCTTTTAACTGGTGACTACAAAGAAATAGAGACTTCATTCAGAAGAGCAGGGGAACAATGTTATGGATATATAAACAATATATGAATATGTTACACCTCTGTGCATGTAAGAAATTTCTATTTGAATGGCAGTGATCACTTTCAGCATGGCCATTCATCTCTTGATACATTCCCTAATTAATTGGTTCTACTAAACCTTAGAAATTAGATCTGCAGCTTAAAAAATAAAACACTTTTCGGCCAAATATTTATTACATAGAGTATAAATTAAGCATTACAACTAAGCACTGATTTATAAGCCTCAAGAAGACAATGCTCTAAAATATTTTCTCCAAAACAGAATGGCTTTAGAAGTTATAACCTTGCTGACAGAAGTTAATTTTTCTATTTAAAGGGAGTAATTTCACTTTAGCCTCTAAATTCACTTCAATCTTGCCTAAGCTACAAGCAGCTGTTGACTGAGATTTATACATAAGTAAGCATAGGCTGAAACTGGAGCAAATTTTTCAACCTAGGTTGCTTGATAGTTAAATGGCAGTAACGTGGCCCAAACCAAAATGGACTATGCAACTGAAAATTTTGGTGCTGATAAGCTATAGGGTTGGGTTTTTTCCAAAATACCTGTTCAAAAGTTATTTGTAAAACATGCCTGATAAATAATCCCCAGAATGTACCTTGCTGTAATTTAGTTATTTAACAATCTTTATACTATAGACCTATTTGGTTTCTCAGCATCTCAGGCAGGAATTTTCACCTAACAATTGCTTGAACTTTTACAGCTTACATAATACAACCCCAAAAGAAGAAACCACACAACTCTCTCAGCTGCCAAGTATAAAGCAAGAGTAGGGATGCTGACTACAGTACATGAAGATAGGTGTTTTCAAGTACATTAGGGGAAATGTTATGCCTGATAAGCTTTGACTTTACGTTTGAATTTATTAAGGGACCAAATATGGCTCATAGAGGCTTAAATGGTCAAAAGAGAGGCAGAGGGAGACTGCCAGGAGGGAAGTGCTTTTTTTCCTGCAAAGAGCAGAGTTTCCCCTGGGACCCTGAGAAGGGGGAGTCAGGAAAATGCTTTCTCTACACTATCATAGGAGACATTACTTTAATCCTTTAGAGTTTGAGAATAGAAGAGGAAGAGAAGGGCTCTGTGTGCCTTTTCTCCAGTTGAATGCTCAATAATAGACCTCAGCTGAGATTAAAAAAAGTTTGAGTCAGCTTTATTGAAAATCATTTAGTTCAAGTACCAACACATCAATTTTACAAGGCAGGCTTCAGCTGGTATCTTATATGTTGAAGCTATCATACTGTCTTTTAACTATTAAAGATAATCACATCTTTTAACTAATTCTTCCATTATTTTAATCTCTTCTAGGGAGATGGACCCATTCTTATGTATTTTGTATTTATAGTTCCTGTTCCTGCTCTGGATTACTCTAGACTTGTGAAGTGAGTAGCATCACTAGAACCAGCCAACAAGAGCACTCCTCTCTAACATTTGTGAAGCTGTACAGATAAAAGTAAACTAGTCCTGGTTACTAGGCTGAATATCTTCCTGAAGGACCTGGTCCACTGAGGCGGCAGCAAAACTAAGTTACAGACAGCACCAGTCTCAGCACCTTTAGAGATGGACAATCAAAGTTAACACAAGGAAACTGGTATTTTTCAGCTGAATCCACCATCTCTGTGTTTCTTAAGCAAGTTGGGATCACTTCTCAAGAAGAGCTGTATGCATGTCACAGCTCTTCCCTTCACTATGCATTTTGCATTCTTGTTCTTAACCTAAAGTCACTTGCAACCATTTTGATGGCCAGATTCAAACAGATCAACTTACATCCCTAAAGCAACATACAAAAAGTCTCCTGGCTCATAAATGTTCCTTCTAACAGCAGATGTCAGAAGGAACAACGTTCCTTCTAAGTGCTCCTTCTGCATTAGCAGAAAAATACAGAGCAGCTTTAGATATTTTTATTTGCTGAATCACATTTAATAAAACCTAACCAAGAGCCCAATCTGTATCATGGACATTGACTAGGCATTCAGTACTATGACTTTTGTTTTTTTACAGTGCACAGATCATCCTAAGAGAGAATTCAGCTGGGGTAGAGGCACATCCCAAACCCATAGCTGGGTTCTTCCATAAGTATCATGCCATGCACTGCACAAACTTCTTCATGAGGGGAGCAGCACATGCAAGGGCACTGTCCTGGCTCAGTTCTTTGGAAAAGCTGCTTGCTGTATTACACCTTTCTAGTGCTCAGGAGACTGTGTGCCACCAGCCTGTGACCTCCTGCCAAGTGCTTGTGGTGCAGACAAGAGAGCAGCAGGGAAAGGAAGGGTGTCTTTGGGCCACAAATGCCAGGAGTTGGGTGTCTGCACCCAGCCCTGCAGCAGAGAGCCATCGCCCACTCTGAATTCGCAAATGCAGCTATTTTCTCCCCAAGTTTAATTACATTGACTACATCTTTGTTAGGGAGGTATCTTCCCCTGCATAAAGCCATAGCTCAAAGAAGGTTTTTCCCATCGCAAAATCTAGGATTAAAAGCAGATACTGCTATGTTGCCACCTTCACAAATCAAGATGATTAGTCATTAGATTTCTTGTTTCATTACCAAATAAGATAAGATAGTTACAAGAAAACATTAACATGGTTAAGACTTTGATTACTTGCCAATTAGTTTAACTGCTTAAGCTGTGTGCAGAAACCATGGAAAACTGACAGTGGGTAATACAATGCAGATGTATATGCTGGCAGACAAATTTACTAAATAAATTAGACCTTGATAAAAGTGATGACTTTCTAATTTCAGTCTTCATGGGGGTAATAAACAGAGCTCCATCTGCTGAAAATTCACTTCCTAGAAGCAAAATCACAAATTCCAGGTGATCACAGGGGACATATTCTACTACCGGGCATTTAACAGTGTTAAAATGCCATGGTCATCTTGGTGATCCTTTTTACAGTGCTCTGATGCAACATCTGAGTTTGCCTGTTTGACTTCAACTTATGCCAAGAAAGAAATAAAGCAGAGCTATTTCTTCACAAACCAAAGGAAGAGTTACTTAAAGGGTGAAGATGAACACATTGAATGGGAAAATGCAAAAGAAGCCCACTGCTGAAGAGAGAGAGGGGCAACAAAAGTCAGGTAAGAAAGATGGAAGTCCTGAAGACTCTTAGTTATGTTGTAAAACACAGAAGGGTATATTCCTTTTTGCTGAATTACTGAGGCAAGATTTAATGCTTAAGTAACATCAATGGTCTGACATCAGCCTGTTTTTCTTCACCTGTTACCTAAATCCACACTACAGCCAAAACCTACTACAGTAGTGGGACACCAGTTTTCAGGAATGTTCCAAAAAGGACCCAGAGATATCTAGAACAGGAGATTTAATCTTTGCTACACGTTCAAGTGATTGAAAAAACAATAGGGAACAAAATTAGTTAACATACTAATGTTATGTGCAAGAGTTGAGGGTGTTTTTTACAAAGGGTTATTACACTGCTCAAGTATAAGAGTTACTGAGAAAAGACAGATCAAGGCCTCATCTAATGGTATTCTTGAAACTGCAAGAAGCACTAAGGGCTCTAAAAGAAACTGAACTGACAAAGGATCTATGCAAAATTCTCACAGAAACTGAAATATTCAAGAGTAAGAAAAGTTACTCTACACAAAAATGCAGGTAACAAACTGACAGAGAAATGTAAAAAATTTCATTATATCATATAAGCAAGAAAGTAGTAAGAAAAATTCAAAGTAGGATTGCATATGCAAGGAAAATAACCCTAATTCATTATTTCTTAATTAGCTATAACATGAAGATTACATTGCATTCTATATAATGAGTTATGTGGAAAGTGCATCTTGATGCTCAGGAGCACTCATGAAGGAAAAAAGACATGAAAGTACAATTAGAAGTGTAATGAACCTAAACAGAAAATGCCATTGCACTGCTCTGTTAATCTATGACACAGCCACTCTTTAAGACTTTGTGTAGTTCCCTCTCATGTCAAAAGAGGGAAAAAGACTTAAACAAGAGTGATGAAGATGATCTAGAAACCTGTAACAGCATCCGTGTGGAGACAGAACCATTCAGCATTCCGGTGAAAGAGCTGGAAGAAGGTGCAACAAGCATAGTGGGACTTTTAAATATCAGAGGAGTGGATAAAATTAATAGTGATATCAGGAGTTAATCATGAAAATACTGAGTGGCAAACTCAGAAATAAAACCAAAGGGAGCACTTTTTCCATGATTACTTGTAGCTGGTTGCAAAACACCATCAGAAGCATTGAATGCCAACAGAAAAACAGGCAAACGTTAACTTCTATATAATTTTAAAAAGTTCATAGAACAAAACCTCAAAGGGCTGTTAAAAACATTAGTGCAAATGCAGCCTTAGTGTTAAAAAGGTTAGAGCTTACAAAAAACTAGTGTCTACACCAAGGATCATATGTTTGTCCTTATTTATATTCCTTGCCTCAGCATGCACTGCTGTCTGGCTGCTGTCAAAGGCAAGATATTAGTTCAGAGGGACCATTAACCTAATCCAGTAGGGCTGTTTTGGATTCAGGCAGGTCAAAATGACATATGAAGTAGGTCATATAAGTCTTGCACATGTTCACATAATTTAATATTATTCAAATGACAACAGAGCAGATCCTTAGTAAAAAAAAAAAAAAAATTGACACCATCCCAGGTTGAAATAATAACTAAAAAAAACCCACAAGAGATTTAAGATGATCTTAAGAAAACAGATTGCAAAAGAGAGGAGATGTGAATACTATCAAATTTCTCCTAAGAGCCCATGCAATTCAGATTTTTGGAGGCTCCGAAGTTCATTCTGTACCTCCATGTGGCAGAAGTAATCCATATTCAGGCATTTGACTTGGAACATTCCTGAGCACCAGGGTGCTCTTTCTCTCCCAGGCCAACCAGAGCACACGCCAACATCTATCCCAGCTCTTTGCCAACAGCATGGAGTTGAAGGAGTGCCACACACCTTTCAGGATGCACAAATTTTCTGCTGGTTAAACAGCAGAGTAGTGGAATTCCTCCACTACTTTGTGCTCCATTTGCCCAAGGAATTGACTTTGAAGCTAGTGAAGGGGCAAATGCTACTAGGAAAAGGAGTAGCTCTAACAGGTATCAGGCACTCGTGTCCTAGCAGACAAACTGCAAATACAGGACTGGTTCCCTACACAAACACAGCAGAGCATGTTCCATCCCTGAGTAGCCAATGCCTGTCAGCAGAAGGCAGAAATCCAAGACATGATCAGATGTTGTCTAGATTTCCTTGGTACATTCTCCACCCCTTGCACAAGCCACAGGGACACCAGCCCGAGTTACCTGTAAGGCTGTAACTCCAGCACTCAGCATGCCAAAGGAGGAGAATAAAGAAGGAAAATATAAAGTCATGTAAGTGGAATTGCCTCTCACTTACAGAGATTGTGCTTCAGGACAGTTTTGCTGTGGCATGTCCAAATCCACTGGTTGCAAGTGCAGCAGATCAACAGAAAAACCTCACTTTGTAAATTGCTCAAAATAGGACAGCCCTTGATACTGAATCAGTTGGTCTAATATGAGATGTTGCTGCTCTGCACAAACCTTGCTCCGTTTCAAATCTGAAATTAATAATAGTCAATCTTTTCATATTTTATATTTCCTTGGGGCAATTTTGTCCCCTTCACTAAGGAATAGAGAGAAAAATCCAAACATAACTGATCAAAACTGTTTTACACAAGGGTTTTGAATGCCAGGAGGCCAATCAAGAGTAACACTCTTCCATTTTGTCCTAAAGTACTGACTGCTACATCCTCTATGAAAGTGACTAAAAGTATATGATTTATGTAGCTTCACTGGTTAACAAAAATGGGGTATCTTCTCAATCTTTTTCACTTCCAGGCTCTTAATTTAGTGTTTTCAGAGTTAATTGACCTTTCCTGCTATCATTGTCAGCTGACCAGTCTTTTTCATCCTACCCTCAAGTTCTGTAACAATTCTTAACAATGCTACTGTTTTTTATAGTTTTTGCTGCTAAGCAACAAACACCTTCTATTATAATAAGTCACCTGTACAAGCAATTTACATATCAGACTTTTGTTTTCCATTTCCAGTTTTTTCCCAACTTCCTCTCCTGTGGGCCTATTCTCATAATGTACTTTATGAGCTGGAAGCCTGATATATGAACCAGCTATACTGATGTAGCTGAATTGGAACAATGACATCACCCTCCTCCTGAAAGTGTTTAATGGTATTTAATTTTTCCCCTGTGTTCAAATTTCCTTTAAAAACAGACTCAAAAAAATGAATGCAAGAATTAAGGTTTTTTCTTTAAGTGTACAGTCTTCAACTTCATTTTCGATTTGTTTTACAGAATGTGTTTGCCAGCTGTTCTTTTATTGTTTTTATGCCTCTCTATATCCAACTTTCAAGTTAAATACTTACAGTTTGGCCCAAATTCTGCTCCCTAATGTGCACAATCGGAAGTCACAAGCATATCCAAGAGCTGGAATTGGCTCTAGCTATTCACCCACAGCCTGTCATACCTTTCAGTATTTTTTTACTGTTACTGTTTCATTTTTCTTAAGTGATCTAAGCCATTTTACTGAGGCAGCTTTTAACAGACAAGTGTGTATAACTAGCACCTTCACTGAATTTAAAATTACCCAGATATTATGTTTTAAAACTTAGTGTGAAGCAGGTTATTTTTACACAATACTCCTGACAGTTGAACAGAATCCAGTTCTAGTCACAAATTGGTGCAATTTTAAATATCACTTCAATTAGGAAGCCAGATAACATGAGTTATAGATAAATTGGTTAGAAACTTATATGATACAATACTTATTAGCCAAGTTTTATAGCATATAGATGTTGTTATTAAATTCCCCTTTACTTACAGCTTTGTAATATGTTTCCAGGCATTTCCAGCACCTCACTCTATATAAACAGATGGAAATCTTTTAAACAAGCATGGAGTCAGCTTGCCTGTATATAACATAAGACACAGCTGCTAATTCATGAAATCCAAAATTTTGAATCTTACTTTAACATGAGAGGCAACATTTATATGCTTTGCCATTGTTTTACCATTTATTTTAGAAGTTGACAACAATTACTTCAGAAAACAGAGCACTTTAAGTTTTCACACACTAGACTATTTTTACTAAACTAGAGGTTAAGGCAGAAAATAGTCCTAAAGAAACATTTCTTAGATCAGATTATTTATTTAGGTAATTAAAAATTTACAGTAGGCTTTCAGCAAAGCCTACCATGTTCTACCAGCATTAAGCTTTTGCTTTATTTCACACCTAGTTATAGCAAGCACCTGCTGCTTCAGAGCAAGGTTGAGCTCTCAGTGTCTGTAAGTTCAGGTCCTTGCAGTAAGTTTTAAGCATGAAGTGTCTGTAAGGACTTAAGAATGAGTCAGTCAGAGTGAGTTACTGCTGCTGTCAAAACCATCCATCACTGTGTCTAAAGATTCCCATAGTTGGCTGTGAAACTTGTAGATACCTTGTAACATGAATGCTATTGCAGCTGCACTCAGTTATATCAACAGATGTTTTAGCAGAGACAGGATGCTGAAAGAAAATATCCCAGCTGGCTTAACTTCAACATGCAGAAAAATACTTGGACTCCTTAGAAATACTTAGATGATAACATGACATTTGACACTTCCACAATGGACATTACAATGTAACAGAAGGGAATGGGGTTGATTTGACATTATTTGTTTCAGATAACAGGTGCTATGGGCAGAGGAGAACCAGTAGATGTCATGCCCTGACTTTA